TGATGATCACAAAAAGGCTACATATAACCTATAATAAGAAAAAATGAGCCTGCAGCTGAAGATAGGAGCATACTGGTAAAAGGAAGTTTGTGTACAGGCCTGAGTCTCAAAGGAGTCTTTTCATTACAGGGGGCAGAAAAACTGTACCTGAAAGGACAATTATCAGATAGCATTGTTTCCTCCACTAAATAAAAGTCCACACTGCACCAGGAAAGCACCTCATCAAGGCTGTATCAAATACCAGATCAAAATTTCTGTAAGTCAGGTACACCAGAATGAGGAATGAATGTATGGACAGATGCAAGGATGATGCAAAGAAAGCATTTCCCATATCAGGCCATGGAGTATGAAGGATATCCAATGAAAGATTTGGACTTGTGGCTGCTCTCAAGGGGAACAGCTAAAAAGCCTTGGAAAGTAAAAATAAATTTTGAACACGGAAACATGAAAATTCCAAGAGGCATTCAGGAAGCCATGAGGGAAGACTCAGGAAAGATGTAGTCTTACACATATAATAGTGATGTACGCATGTAGCTAAGTCGGGGTTCAAAACTAGTTCCCTGTTAAGCATCACCAAGCAGTGATCTGTGCTGGAACCTGTGTGAGATAACATTTGCAGGTCACCTAGAAGGCAACATGAATACCTAGGTGACGAAATCCAATAATAAAAATAAGGTTTCCAGAATAGTAAAGAGGAGGGTCAGTTTTGAAGAACTGCAGGACCTCAGGAGACTGAGTGACTGGTCAGTAAAAGAAGATGGGAAATGCAAGCTGAATAAACATGAAAATAATGTGAAAAGTATGCTACTTTTGTATATTTAATGATTGCTCTGTCTAGAGCACTTAAGAATGAGAAACTGACGCTACAAAAAAAACAACCAAAAAACTTTGGACAAAGTAAGAAAGGTCACTATCCCAGAAACATCTTCCCAGAAATGCAGAAACAGCAATGCAGGATCAGTCAGGGCTCTAGGAATGCATGCCATATACAGGAGAAGTATGCTGTGATATTTCTTTACAATCTTCTTCTCACATCCCATTTTTGCTTCAGTTACTGTATCAGATGCTCTCAACACTACTGAAGTGCCATTTGATGCGTAAATGACCTTTGTCATGAAACCTTCTTATTTCTGTTCATCTTCTAGGAGGTCTGTAAGCATGGGCTGTCTGTCACAGAAGAAAAAGAAAAATCACATTCTACAACTATACGACAGTTTATAACGCCTGTCTGGAGACAAGCTCTGGGCAGACTTTATGTAGGAATAAACACCTCCCCCAAGATCTTCACAGTTGTTCTCCTCCTGAGTAAGCCAAACTTTGCTTTGATTTCTCATGAATATTCACAAGAACTTCACAGGAAGGCTGCTGACAGAAGCATCATCTCTAGAGCTTAGTGTTTCCTTCAGTGATTGAGGCTCATCAATGCCAAGCTAAATGATTGCAGCTATTCTGAACAGAGCACCAGTAGCTGTGGTTAATCACTACTAGGAAGAGTTTTAGGCCAGGGGGTAGGGGGACAACTAGGGGGACCAAAGCCACGGAAGAAAACAGGAATATAACCAGAAGCTTTTGGATCCTCTGGGATCCCTGTCTGATGGTCTTCACAGGAACCACATCCAAAATGTGGGAAAGCCAAACAGTCAGCTTTGGCTTGTGATCGTGAGGGCAAATAGAAGGTGCTGGGTTCCGCAAGCAGAAAGGCATCATCTGCCCTCTGGAGATGATGACCCTCCATGCCCATCCCCCGTTTCCAACCTCAGAGCAACTCTTCCACCGTGTGGTCGGTGGTAGGGCAGGCAAGGGAAGGCACCTAGATTAAAACTGAATCAGTATGGGAGAAGCAAGAGGTTTCTTTTCATCCAGATCGGTCCTGTACAAGGACATCTGCCAACAGAAAAGCCTGTGAGCCTTCCAAGGTGAGGCAGGATCGACTGGAGGTATAAAACACCACGAGGCAGCAAAACTAGAGACAAGCATTCCAGGATTTGTACTGGTGTACTGTGATAACCGAGTGCCAAGAATCAAATACCAGCCAAGCAGAAAATATCATGCTCTGAAGCATCATCCCAGAAGAGATTTTGTTATATTCTGCAGAAGAATAGTGGCTAAAACGTAGGCTGTGCTGGCCAGTGCTTGTTTGGAGAGCACATAAGGTGCTTGGTACTTGTAATGATGAAGACAAAAAAAAAAGCCACTTAAAATGAGGAAGAAGGAAATTCTCTTATCCAGAAGATGCTGCTCTTGTCACTGCCCACCACACCCCACCACATAAAAGTATTAGTATAAGGTTGCACATCATGGCTTTGGAAGGGCAGAAAATTGTGAGAGATTTTCCACCTTTGTGCCATTAAAGATAATTTTTCCTTGTTTGGTCCTAGAGGTAGCACTTTACATAAATGATTGTTCCTGAACATCTTGCCGTACAAACTGGAAGCAGACTTTGAGGACATATAAACTGGCAAGGAGCGTGCCCGTTATGGGCAGTGGTTGTATAAGCCTGAAAGCCTCTTTGGCTCTGACACTCTCTGCGTAAATCTTTCCAGGAGGAAACTTTCCAGCTTCTCTTCCAAAAACTTCTTGGTCTTGAAAAGACAAAGACAAAGCAACATGCCAATGCCCGGCCTTGGCTAAGACAAGAATACCTGTGCTGATAGCACCGTGCCTACAGAAACCTATCCTTATTTAAAAGCAAAAACCTATCCAACAAAACCTATCCATGATATAATAAAAACTTATAAGCCTGAAACAGGATTAATAAGCATAGGTGGATAATTCCTGCATTGAGTACTGGAATAAAAAAAAACAAACCCACAACCAAGATATCTGCACCAGATGAGTTCTGATTGAACCTTTGGAAGTTATTATTCCCATAAGGAGCAGCCTGTTGTCCATGCTGTCTCGTGCCTCAGGTGCCCCAGTGAACCCGTCTGGTGAGACCATTCACTGCAGAGTTGTGAGGAGGCATGGGACAAAAGCAGCTTTCACACTTACTGCCCCCTGAGAAGGCACGTTCACACCACGGGGACTGTCGCTGCTCTGCCGCTGCAATCCAAGAACAACATCTATAGACGCGTGTGTCTGGAAAAAAAATCACCACCACAGCTGAATCTGCTTGATTTTGTCAGTCCGAGCTCCAAACCTGACTTCAAGCAGTCTTTCTCTAAGTCTCCAAGTACCATTTCCCAAACCAAAATTAAAGAAGAAGCTGGAACAAGTCTCTGCAGTCGATTCACGTCCATGGGAATTTCTATTCTTCATTTAAACAAGATTGAACGATTACAGTCAAGTTTCAGAAAAATATTAGAGACCACAGGCTGATGTGTACTAGCACGATGAAAAATGATTAGCTCATTAATTCCAGGCACTGTACTCATTTTAAACCCATCACACAGCCTTAATTTTGCAAACAGATGCACTAATGCAGATCTGAACGCCACAGAGATTAGCAATTCTCTTCACACGCAGAGAACAGAGGGAGAGGAACACGGGAGAGAACTGGTGGAGAACTACAAAAACATAGTGCTAAGGTCCACCCTGATAATGAAGATAAGTGACAGAACAGACACACACACAGCTCAATACAAAACAAATTTTGCTAAAGACTGCGGTTAATTTGATTGTACTTACTGAAAGGAAAAGAAAATAAAATATCAATAACAGAGTGAATTAAAAAAGAACAACCAAATACTACCAACAAGATTTCTGGGGTTCTTAGGTCTCTAAAGTATGAAAAGCCCTCTAGAATATAACCCTAGAAAAACCCTGAATAAAACAGGAAAAGGGCAAAAAAGCCCCAAACAACTATAGATGTAGGATACGAGAGTCCTCTAAGAGTAGAATAGTCATTTTGAGCAGTGAACAAAGAAAAACAAAAACCCAAACACTTTAGTTTTGTTTTTGTTTTGGGGTTTTTTTGTTGTTTTGTTTTATTTTTTTTTAATTTAATTTTCTATTCTAGTAAATATATAATTAGGAAAATGGGTTAAAAAAACCCCAACCAACCTTACTCTGCAGAAATGACAACATATTGCAACAGTTATCTTGACAGTCTAAAGCACAGTCTCAATGAAGAACTTATCACTTTGACATGCATCTTTAAGAGTTATAATCAAATTTGTGATCAGAATCTTCCTGAACCGGATGATCAGATGGTTTGAGATCTGTTCAGAGCTATTCTCTGATGCCCATCTCTTCGTAAAAGAAGTTTTCAAAATCTTAGGTCCAATCTTAGGTTCCTCTCTTGAGTTTTAGAAGCCAGTTATTAGCCCCACCATTGCACTCCTCAGTGCTGTCATTTATAAGCTGATCTGTGAACGTCTCTTCTGTGAAAGATGTAAAAATTGCATTTTTTTTTGACTGCATGCTATTTTGCAATCTGTTCACATAAGCAGGTGTAAGTGGTTGAACACCTCCTTCAGAAGGTAACAGCGTTTTGAGAAAAAATGCTGTAATGCCAAAGACTAATTCAGTATGATGAGTTTAGGTCTTTCAAAAATTTGGTTTTTAATTCTAACAAAGGCCAGAAATTTATTTCCACTAAATCAGGAAATATTTTGTTATTTGCAAGAACTAACATACCTATGATAGTTGACAGCAAATGTGATAAGCGTGTGTGTCTTTCATTCATTGTTAATATTGTCTCAATGTCAAAGAACAATTTTCAAGCTTTATGTGGCACTATTTTGCCAGAGAAAAGGAAATATTGTACATTTCTTCTGTCGCGTTGCTGGTTTTGTCACTTTTGTCACTTCCACACATTATATTTAGTCTATAAAAATACACATGTTTAAAAACTTTGCATAGATATAAATATTGCAACTCACACTGAATATATATATATAGATAGGAGTGAGAAACGTAAAAGTGCTTCAGTGTGAGCTGCAATATTTAATGTTTTAAGACTATTTTCAACCGCAAGCCCCAAAATACCTCTGAAGGCTCCTGCACCAGTTTGCCAACACAGACACCACTGTTTTGTTAAAACACTGTCAAATACTTACTGTGAAGATACTGAGCAATGTTTATTATCCACTCATCTGTTAACTTCCCAGCTTTTGTCAGCTTGGTGCACTTCAGCTGGCTTGAAAGATCTCGTGATTCAATCCAACAAACTGTGTCCTCTTTGTAGCTATAGTCTAGTGTCAAAATTGTAGACCCTTTTACAGGAGTTCGGGCAGATACTTGGCTTCCATTAAGGTATAATACCTCGATTGTTTCCGAACTTGCAGCCAGAAGAAGAGGAGGTCTGTCAGCAGGCTCTAAAAACAAAGTAAAGAGAATTTAAAGGGTTAATAGACTGTGTATACCATATTTATCTTTTCGGTTTTAATGTAGTTTTTAATGTTCTTACCTGCATGTTTTAAGAGATATAATAAATTGGTTTTGTTTTTATTTTCATAACTATCATATATTCCAAATTACTAGTCTATTTTATCCTGCTGTTCTAATGGTTCACATCATTAAAGAAAATTAATTACCCTAGCCCCACAGCTTCTGTTTAATTCTAAGTATCATTATTGCAACATTTTTCATGCCTAAGTCATAAATTGAAATACAAGTTATGCAAATTATTTCTATCCAGATTACTGGCATTTCTAAAAGAATGAAGGCCAGGAAAACTTGCAGAACTTATGAGTACACATGAAATAGTAAGGTACTTTTTATAGCAGAGTCTGTAAAAATTAGACAAAACCTGAGGAGAGGATGCTGCTAAAAAAAAATAAAAAATAAAAACTAACCTAACAAAAACTCCAATGCAGCAAAACCTGGCTACGTCGTACAGATGATGGGCTAAATACCATGTATTAATACCTGGTCTAGTGGGAGGTGTCCATGCCCATGGCAGGGGGGTTGGAACTCAATGATCTTTACGGTCCCTTCCATCTCTAACCTTTCTATGATTCTATATTATAAAGGAGAGAGCATCATGTGGTGGGGTTTCTTGACACCAAAAAGGGAATAAAGAATGTGTAGTTTCCATTGGGTTACCATGAATGTCACAAAAAACAAGCAAACAACAAATAGAACAAGCAAAGAAAAAATATGAAGACGCAATTCATATTCAGATATTCCAGTGTTCAAGGCCAGGCTGGATGGGGCTTGGAGCAACCTGGTCTAGTGTGTCCCTGCCCGGGGCATCGGGCTTGGAGTTCAATGATCTTCAAGGTCCTTTCCAACCCAAACCATTCTATGATTCTATGATTGATTCTGTGATTCCCTGAGGAAGATAAGGTGATCCTAAACATTGCTTCTGTTTTAACTGGAATAACAGTGGTGTCTAATTTTGCATTGAGGTATGTTCATGTGAATCGCTTAATGGAACGCTTTCCTTTTCAACATGGTCAACACCACTACAACATGTCTATTTGTCCAGTTCCTTTCTTCAATTAAATAATGTTGTCAAGTCAGCAAACTTTTGGATGCGGTATTTTAAAAAAATTAATCCAAACCATGGAAACTCACTGCTGTTGCTTCAGTTGGGACAGAGTTGACTCTCTTGCTGGCAGCTGGTATAGTGCTGTGTTTGGATTTGGGATGAGAAATGGTGTTGGTGGTGCACTGCTGTTTTTTGGTTGTTGCTGGGCAGTCGGAGCCTTTTCTGCTCCTCACACCACCCCACCAGTGAGTAAACTTGGGGGGGACAGGGCGTTGGGAGAGGACACAGCTGGGACAGGTGACCCCAACTGACCAAAGGGATATCCCATCCCATATCATGTCATGCTCAGTGTATAGAGCTGGGGAAGAAGGATGGAGGTGGGATGTTCAGAGTGATGGTGTTTGTCTTCCCGAGTTGCTGTTACGCGTGATGGAGCCCAGATTTTCTGGAGATGGCTGAACACCTGCCTGCCCATGGGAAGCAGTGAATGAATTCCTTGTTTTGCTTTCCTTTCCGTCCCTTGCTTTTCCTCTACCTATTAAACTGTCTTTACTTCAACACATGAGTTTTTTCTCACTTTTACTCTTCTGATTCTCTTCCCCATCCCAACTGGGGCAGTGAGAGAGGAGCTCTGTGCTCCTCATTGCTGGCTGGGGGTCAACCATGACAGTGCCACTGCAGTTTCAAGCGTACGTGAAAAATATGTGTGTTGCCAAATCAAGAGCTCTCACCCCAATGTAATCGGCTTGTATTCAAAGGAATAAATCAATGTTTAAATGCTGTATTGAAATGGAGCACTTTCAATCAACATTCTACTTAATAAAGTTTTCAAAATTTTACTAAGCGATTCCTGCTAAGTGGAGAAAAAATTTTGCATAAATAAAAGGATTTGACAAATAATACTTCATCAGCAAGTCTGATTAAAGAGAAAAAAGTGCTTCAGTGAATACGGTGCTCAGTGGTCTCATTCAAATCCAGAGAAGTAGGTGTTACATTGTTTGGTAGTACCTGCTTTTTATTAAAACACCTCTTTTGCTGACTTTTTTTTTTCTTTTATGTAAAGAAGTTCTTTGTCATAATGGATCAGCATGGATTCTTTGTAAAGTGGATTCCATTTATTCTTTCCCTATTGTTTCTCATTCCAAAATGTATATTCTACCTTGTAACATGCTTTTCCCCTCCACATTAAATCCCACACCAACACCTCCAAAACCACCTTCTGTAGTGTTACTTTCCGAACTTACTGACTGTTGTCATCTGCCTCAAATTCCCTTCCACCCATACATCAGTCATATCCATGTATAAGAATAATTATTTTTTTTTAATTTCGGAAGATATCAATCAACTGAAGGGATTGAACTTGGTTGTGAAACAACCTCTTGTGGTATAAGACATGAGTAAATCTCCTTACTCTTGCTTTTTCCAAAAGAGAAGGCAGTTGGGTGATAGGACAAGAGGAAACGGCCTCAAGTTGCACCAGGGGAGGTTCAGATTTGGTATTAGGAAAAAAGTTTTACATGGAAAGGTTTATTAAGCATTGGAATGGGCTGCCCAGGGAAGTGGTTGAGGCACCACCCCTGGAGGTATTTAAAAGATGGGGGGGCATGGTGCTTAGTGACATGGTTTAGTGATGTTTTTTTATCAGAGTTAGGTTGATGGTTGGACTAGATAATCTTAAAGGTCCCTGCCAACCTGGACAAATCTATGATTCTATGATTCTATGTTCCGGAATTATTTTTCCATCTAACAAGTCTGTGCTCAGCTTCTCCCTCCCCACAAAAGAATCCCACTGCCTAATTCTGGATTCAATCACTCCTTCCCCAACCAGCAGCAGTGTGAAAAATCCTCTATTATTATTTTTGCTCTTGTACTTTGTGTTAACTAACATATTTCCGCTGTCTACAATCTATAAAGCCTTCAAGAGGAGGCAGCTACGCGGGAGCTGTTTGCAGTTACAAACCCAGCGGCGTCGTTCAATTGTCCGAGGCTGCAACCCAGAATCACAGCCTTTCTCGCACTGCTTTGAACTGACCCCTTGAAAACTGTAACGAGAGTTTAATACCTCACTAAACCCTCCAAAAAAAAAAAAAGTTGCATATCGGTATTAATATCTAAGACATAAGGGAATTCTGAAAAAAGAATTAGTGTCAAATCTCCTGAGCAGCAGTTGTAATCGAAGCTGGCTTCAGACAAAGGGATGGTAAGGACCCGTGGCACCGCTAAGAGCTTCTGCTCAGCAGGCACTGTTAAACATTAAAAATACATCTGCGTTCTGGCAGAACTTATCCAGAAATTAGATTACTGAGCTTGAAATTATATTTTTCGTGCAGCCCATACATGAAATAATTCAATGGATTGAATCAGTTAATCATGTCTTTTCACAGTAGGGTAGGTAACCTGCTTTTTTCAGTGTTGCTCAGATAAAGGTTGATTTCTTAATTACTTATTAAAAAAAATGAGTAAAGCTATTTTAATAATAAAACTATACCAAAAATATTACAAGTTCCTACAGGAAATACAAAATAAAAAATTAAATCATCTTACTGTATTGTATAATGCAGATGAAAAACAAAAAAGATGAAAAAAAAATCACATCTCGCTCACAAAACCAGCTTGTCTGTTTCTCAAGAAGAGAATCTACGAAGATTAAAAGTTTAGTGGACAGATCTAGGATGAGTTACAGTGAGCTGACAGCAGCTTTTCAAATAACTGGACATCATGTGTGTCATTTTTTCATGAGTTTTCTTTTTTTTTTTTTTTTTTTTTTTTTTTTTTGGAAAAAAAAAAAGACTTAGGCAGTGTTTTGTAATACTTAGAATAAATACATTTAGGCAGAAAACAGCGTAACGTATTTCACATTGTGACTACATTTGCTCCCTGCCCCCCCCCCTTTTTTTTTTTTTTTTTTTTTTTTGTTTTTTTTTTTTTTTTTTTTTTTTTTCATTTTATAGGAAAGATAAGAAGTGAATAGCTCTCTAATCCGGGAAAGTTTTATGATTCATCCCTCTTGACTAAAATGAAAGCCTCTTCCTTTGAATTATGTTTAAGACAGAGTAGTGGAAAAGATGAAAGACTTGCATTTC